AAGATATGTGAAATCGACCAAACCCATACAGAGATCCGTTGCTGATAATAACAGATAAAATATAAAGTTTTTTCTTAAGAAATGTTTGATAATTATCTGGACATTATAAAGATTTTCCATGTGAAACTTTAAAATTTTCTGATGCACAAAAGTATTTTTTAATCTTAAAATAAAAATTACTTTGCATGTTGGATATGGAACATGCAAAAAGAAAAAAAAAAGGCACGAGAAAAACAATGATTTACAAACTTAAAACTTAATTTTAAAAAATGATATTTGGTGTGTGAAAGCATTGTAATGTTTACTGATAATCTACCAAATTTTGTTAACATAGGCTTACTAATTTAAAAGTTACAGCACAAAAACTATAACAAGCACAAAATGGTTACGAGGTTGGTCCCACTGACCGATCCCATGCTGAAAGAGTTAAGTGGAGTCCTAAGTCCATATACTGAGATTAAGGATCAATCTTTAAATAACAAAAGCAATATTTTTCAAGCCTGAAATTTGAAAATAGCTTTACAATATTATTTATAATCAAAGTTATGATAAAAATATAGAAGCTATAGCCTACTCCCTCAAGCTGCCATGATAAAATTTTTCCATGGTGTTATACTATTATCAAATATGATAAAAATAGAATACAAATTGAAACTAGTAGTAAATACAGCCTTTCACCTGTAGCTTTTTGGTATGACTCGCTATCACTCCGTTGATGGGGATCATGAGAATCATAATTCCAAGGCCAGCTAGTACAGCAGGTCCAAGCTCATCCCATAAAAACACCAATGCTAAAAGTATTTGTAAAGGAGCTGACCACAACATATTCAGAAATGTCATCAAGTCCATAAACCTCTGGGCATCCACAGACATAAGGTTAACAATCTCTCCCATGGTTGACTCCTTCCTAGCACTGCTGGACATGACCAAAGCCTACAAATCACAGTTATTTTACTTAGACACATTCAGTAGTTATATGCTATCAGTAAATGGGATAAATAACTAATCTACATTTACAAATACATAAAAACTCAATCTAATAACTCAAATAATTATAATCATTACAATCCTATCTTTTGAGTTACTTGATAAGATTTAAAAGTTCTAAAAATGTAATAACAGTAACTCCTTAATCAGATTTATTTCTAGGGTTGCGATCTTATACTGTCACTTAGAACTGTTACATTCACTTATGGTGGCTATTCAGTAAAATATTGCTTTTGTTAAAATTAAGTTCAAAAATAAGTATTTTTTGGCTGTAAATCTAAAATTAACTAACAACTTTAAGGTGGGCATGTTTAACAAATTTCATAGATTTGGTAGTAAGTAAATCTTACTCCAAAACTATACATATATATATTTTCCATTAACAAAAAAATATCATAAAATTACTGGGGATTTCTATCAACAACTTGGATTAAAAAACTCATGGGTACCTTTCTGTAAATAACTGATATAAGAGCTGTACGAATCCTCATGCCTACAATGTACATACGATGAAAATAAACCGATAAAGTGATGGACTGGATTGTGGCTGCTATGAACATCAACAGAGCATATAACATTCCTTTCCATAAAGGTTCATTACTTGAAATGAAGCCTATCAAAAGCCTAAAAGATAAAAAAACTATCAATATTGCTTCACGGACAAATGAACAAAACCACCTTCAAAAGAAACTGCTCTATTTTATCAGACTTTGTAAGAAACCACATTACATACATATCTTGTATTACACAATGTTGCTGAATAGTCTCTTTCCTTGCAAGTTTCACAGAAGCTGGAAAAAAAGACTGTTATAAAACTAAATAAAATCCTAAACTTAATAATAATTTACACGGCAACACAACTTTGATGTCAACTGTTGATTGAAAAAAAAAAAATGCATTATCTATATAACATGGGAGAATGAAAATTTACAAAAACGTGTACTACAACAAGAAAATAAAATTAGTAATAGAAATTTTGTTTAAACAAAATTCTGATTTTCTTACGCTATAATGTGTAATAAATATGTTAATATTTTTCCAGTTTAATAGAAATCAATAAAATCAGTTTTTTCATGTTTTTTTTGTTCACCCAACATTTTGTGTCCATAACAGCCAGAAAAATGGAATAAATTGCATCTTATGTCCTTAGGCTTAAAGACAGAGATTCTGAAATATTATTGTCTTTTATATTGCTAAGCCTACTTAAGTAACTTCATTGAGATTAGGGGTGGGGGGTGGAGCAAACCTTATCTAGTTTCTTTTACTTCATTTCAACTTAAAGCAACAAGATCCATTTCTATCTATCAAATTTGTTTGTTTGTTTGTTTTGAATTTCGTGCAAAGCTACATGAGGGCTATTTGCGCTAGCCGTCCCTAATTTAGC